TCAATATTGAACCCAGGCTCCTGCCACCTGTTTTGATGAAGCATTTTTTTTTATAAAGAGAAACTGAGAATTTTTTGGTGATTTTAACATTTCAAAACCATTCTTGATTATATGTAAAATAAAAACATCAATATAATCAGAAGCCTCATTTTACTTGTTTATGAAAACTCCAGCAGATGGAGGGACAGATGTCACAGCAATATAATTTGGCTTCTTCTCTGATTTTCATCATAGATCACAATATGTGACTGCCTGTCGGCAGAGTCTGACACAGGTGTACACTTTAGGCTTCAACAAGGAATAATGCAAAGAAGTAAATTTATCAAACTTAACGACAAGGGGGAAGGAGACATAGAAGACAAAGCTGAAAATGCCTTGTTCCCTTCCCTTTTGTACCCCAGGGAAATATTTAATTGGAATAAGGCTTTTCAATAATTCTCTTTTGCAGGTAGATTAGAAAATGATTTCACCATTAATTTTAACCAAATAGCATAATCTTCCAATATCAGGTCTTAATTTACCATTTATTTGACAACTCCCGATTTCATCCTTGTCTAGTTTCCAATTGCTCTTCCAAGTAAATACTGACTCTAATCATGATGAATCATGTAGAATTACACTTACATATTGTCAGTTTTATACACATGTAAAAAAAATTTAAAACTATATGGATAGTGGTAGTGCCTGTTTTGACATGTTTATATATAATAATACATAATTATTATTTTCCCTTCTGCTTTTAAACATGTCAAAAGTTACTCGTGGATTTTTTTTTATTTTTTGTTATGAATAAACATGACTCCATGTTGATCTCTTATATTTATGCTAGATTCAGGATTATTTACAAAATAAAAACATTTTAATTTCAGAAAATTAGATATTTTTCACTGAAATTGTGGATAAAAGTCTGTATTTACAAGATGCTTAAATTTTCAGGATGAAAATAGGACAATACCATCAACTGTCTAGCTTTTTTTTTCCTTTATGATATGAAATTATCTAGGTTTAACTAAAATTTTTCATCCAAGTGTTTCAAAAGTACTTCATAGACTTAGATTGTTAGTTGGTTTGGGAACAAGAGAGAGAAGTCATTAATTCTTTTGAGAAGGCTGTGTTGCTGGTGGTGGTTCATAGCTAGCATTTATATAATACTTTGTTTCACAAAGCATTTCATGTACATCATTTCATTTGATTCTCCCCTCATTTGAATATTGTGAGTATCATTGTTTCATTTTACAAATGAGCGAACTGCCAACTCAGAGAGGTCTAGTGACTTGCTTATGGTCACATAGATCCTATCATTGGTGAAATTTGAACCCAAGCCTTTCCCTTTTTTACTTCCACTAAGCTGTGCTGCTAAAAAGCAATCAGTACTTTTTCCAACTTCAGAGTAATGCTTCCTTCCTTCTCTCCTTCCTTCCTTCTTTTTTGCTTTCTTTTTCTTTCCTTCCTTTCTTTTTTCCTTTCCTCCTTCCTCATTTCCCTTCTTCCTTATTTCCCTCCTCTTTTTCTTCCTTCCATCTTCCATCTCTTCTTTTCTGTTTCCTCCCTTTCTCCCTTCCTTCTAATCAGGCTAATATTCAATTTGATAAATAAAGGGTGCATCTACAGCCATATCCACCTATTTTCCAATATGACTATGTGGAAGTGTGGTTCTCAAGAGAGCTTTCAAAGGTCACATTAAAGATGAATAATTAGAGTCAGTTGAGTTTTACTGTCTTCCTACTACATACTCAGTCCTATTCCCAGCTATAAAAGAAGACACTACCTCTTACAAAAATTCACCTTCAGCAAATAACGAGGCTATTCTTTAATGTAAATCTCCTCTACGCTGGGTCATACCCTGTCACCCATCTCATCATATCTCACTGAATTCTAACAATCCCCCTATTGCTCAGTTTTAGTTTATAATGTAACAATGAGCATCAGTGAGAATGTAGGATATTTGCCAACTGGTAACATTACTCCATCATCTACTCAGGGATTTTGGCTGTTCTTCTTGACTCATAATCAAGAGACCTGAATTCAAATCCCACCTCAGATACCTATTAGCCACATGACCAAAGAAAAAAAAACATTTAACAAGTCTCTGAGCCTCTGTCTCCCTCTGTAAACTTAGGATAATAATATTTAGAGTATATACCTCATAAGGTTAGTTTGAAGGAAGCATTTTATAACTCTTAATGCATTGTACAGGTGTAAATTAATATTGTGGGTTGATCCTATGTGGTATGAGTAAAAGATGGATGAGTCTGAAATCAGAAGATAAGTTCAAACTTTAATCCTTGCATTTACTGTCTATATGAACTTGAACATGTCACTCAACTTCCTTGGATTTCAGTTTCCTCATCTGTAAAAGGAGATAATTGGACTTGGTGAAATCTAAGGTCCAGCCCTAAGTCTATGATTTTGTAATCTTATTATCAAATAATCCTAATATCACACATGTAAAGGGTAGAATAAGGTTGGATCTACATGAAGCAAAAACATTTTCAACCTTCACAAAATACTTGAGTCAACTCCATGAGTTTCATATTTCATAAATTTAATAACTGTCCACCAGGTGGAGTTTGTCATTTTGGCTATTTGGACATTGGGTAGCTATGACTTCTAAGGTAAAATTACTTTTATTTTCTTAAGGGATCTATGATTCAATCAGTGTGGGTTCTAACTGTATTGATGAACATCATAATCTCTTTAAAATTTAACAGATGGTCTTTGAAGGTTGCTGATCTTAAAAATAATAATAATAATAATAATCCATTGGCTTTAGTGCAATTCATCACCGTATAACCAATTTGGAAATAATCCTCTCTGAACTTAGCTAAGCTAGTGCTTAGGCAACAGCCATATAATATATCACCATGGCCATACTCAAAACCCTTCTAGCTTGGGAGGGTCTTCCAGAGCTTTAGCCTTGACAACATTTGCTATGACTATGTATTAGAGTCAGACTTTAATGAAGACAGAAGATATACTTCTTGATTTCAGATAAACCCTCTCTTATTAGGACTTTGATATAGACTGTTATCTATATTTACAAACTGATTTTTGGAGGGAAGAGAGAGGGAAAGAAGTAATGTAAATCAGTTGAAAATCTGATTATTTTGAAAAAATCAGTTAATAAGTTAATGTGACTGAATTTATCATTAATTTTCAAATTAACTGATTAAATTAAATTATTTTTAAAATGATGTCATAATCATTGTAATTGATCTACCTTATGTGACTAATTGTTAGGTTTACTTTTCTTAAATACTATCTATTATCTCTGACAATCTCTGATTATATAATTCACGGATAACCTGTTTTGACCAAATAGAATGATTTAAAGAGTGGAAAGAATTTTAATATGGATTCCATTCAACCAAATGTAAGTTCCAGAGAGAATGGCCTTTGATTAGTACCTCATCTCTGCTCAGAATTTAGGTCTTGGTTTCTAAATTCTAACAGATTCTGTCACACAATTTCATTTCTAGATGAGCTATTCATATGATAATCAGAAATAATGTATTTCATATCTAATTATCAAGACCAGGGGGTTATAATATTTTTTTAATCTTTTTTTGGAAAATATACTTGGGAAGCCATATGCCCAAAATACAGCCCTACTAATAAATATAATTACATTTGAAAAGCTAATCATTATGTTAACATTCATGCCAGGAAAGATTTCCTAATAATTTGTGCCATATAAAAATAGAATGGGTTTTCTTGGGAGCTAGTGTGTTTCCCCTTATTGGAGGTCTTCAAGTGAAAAATGAAGGATGCCAACTTTTGGGTTTTGGCTCAGAGGAGATATTTATTCAGCTACCAGTTGGTTTGGTGGCCACTGACGGTCTTTCTAACTCCAAAATCTTGGGAATCTGTGTTTTCGGATAGGTGGTTTAATACCTAGGCATTGATGAATTAATTTAATTTCCAATTTTTTAATTATATTATATAGTATTCTAAGATGTTGGGCAGCATTATCCAAAGCCACACATTTGTTTTGCAAAGATCAACACCCATGTGGTGTAAATTATTGGTTCTTTTCTAAAAACAGTTTTTCAATTTATGATGAGTGGCTCCATATTAAGTCGCACTTCTCCATGTGCTGATTTGCTAATACCTTCCAAATTTATTCCCTAGAAAGTGCTATTAAAGTGACAATGTTAATGTTACAACTGTTTCATACCCCAAAGTCTACCCTAGGGTAGGTGACTATCTTCAGAAAAATGGGGCAGCAACACCTTGGCAATGGTGATGTCATTCCTACTTAGCAATGTAGAAAGGAAATAGAAAGGATACAGTTAAGATACCTTTCCTTCCTTCTTTTTTTTCCCCCTATGGATCAACAGTACTCATAAAAGTGATTAGAGGCAGCTATGAAATACAGGTCAGGGCAGTAGATTTTGAGTCAGATGACATGCTTTCAAATGTCTTCTTTGCTACTTTTTAGTCACTTCGATATTCTGGATCACAGTTTTCCCATTAATAAAATGAAGAATGTGGATTAGATGGGCTTTGAAACTACTCCCTGCTTTAAATAGTATGGATCAATAAAGAAATGTTCCTAAAATCTTGGGCTTTTAGAGTTTGAGGAGATTATAGATGCTCTAGCTCAATTTCTGCATTTTACAGATGAGAAAACTGAGTCTTAGCAAAGTAAGTGACTTGTTCAAGATTGTCCACATAGTCAGAAATGAAATCTTAATCCCCTGACTACTTCTAGTGAAGCATTCTGACTGCTATGTCATTTTCTCTTCATTGGAAAGTTTGTCCTAATGTCTCTAAAATGTATACTAGTACATTAAAAAATCAGTCTCACTCCTCCATATGAAGTCAACTAATGTGAATTTTTCTTTTCAATTTTAAGAATTTGATAGTTGAAAATAAAAGGCTAAATTCACACATTCAATGTGAATTGGACAGGTCTCTAGTGTGTAACCTTTCTTCCTTTGAAAAGTGCAAGTGAACTAAACCAATAAAGGAAATTTTATTTTCTCCCCTTTCTGCAGAGGCAACTGTCTTGAGTTATGATGGAAGTATGTTTATGAAAATCCAACTTCCTGTGGTAATGCACACAGAAGCAGAGGATGTGTCTTTAAGGTTCCGATCCCAGCGGGCCTATGGCATTCTAATGGCAACCACATCTAGAGATTCTGCAGATACTCTCCGCTTAGAGCTCGATGCAGGGCGTGTGAAACTGACGGTCAACCTAGGTAACAAATTCCCTTCCCCCATTGAACTAACATTTTTCACCGGGTTTGTTTTTGCTTGCAATCATTTACCGAGCAGCCTGTTTGCCATGGGAAGTAAACACATTTAATGATCTAATTTCCATTTTTCAAAGTTATTTATTTTTACATTTTGCTTTAAAATTTTACTTCTGCATCTTTTTGGTTTGCTTTAACTCAGCCTAACATAACCTGTCATAGTGTAGCTCCTATTACCTTGTTGAGTGTTCTCAAAAGGGGAGCCCCATTTATCTTGGCATTTCTCAAGGAAATATATAATTATGTGGAGTGTTACAAACATAAATTTTCCAATTAATTAAATTTTAATTCACTCATGCACTTGAATGTAGGTTAATCTACTTTTTATAAGCATTCCATATCCCAAATATTTAATTTTCTCCTAGTGCTTTGGTACTTTCACCTCTGATGGGCTTTTCCTTTGAACAGTCACACAAGGTAGTAACCCATCTTCTCTGTTTTGAATTACTGTGTGGTGGTATTTTGCTATCAAACGATAACCCACAACCCTTCAATGCCCAAAGTCTGCGGCCCTGAGCAAACAGCCATGTGAACACTAAAAACACAGACTCTTCTACAGAAAAATAATGCTTTCCTGGTTTTATTTAGTATTTAGAAAGAACACTTCTAAGTTAAATACAGTAAAACCTCACCAATATGGTTTAATTTTGTAGGGAAAAAATTGAAAATAAGGAAAAGTCTGATTTATAGACTATATTCAGCTGTTTTGCTTTCAAGGACAAGCATATAAACTAGCAGATAATAAGATGCTGCCAAGTACAGGCCAAATGAACTATTTTAATGATTAGATAAGATTTGTTTCTAATTGCCCTCTTTTTAAAAAATGAAACTATATATGCATATGTATATATATTTAAAATACTGGAAAATTTTGATTTTCTAGGTAGGCTAAACATTTCCCCTAATATCTTATAGATGGTGGTGATTTCCTTAATGAATCTTTCTTCCTAGATAATGCAAAAGGAAACATGCCCAAGGTGTATAAAGATGATTACCAGCTCCAAATTGGAGGGGTCAAAATTCATGAGGTTTTACTGTACTTACAGTATCTTTTTCTTGGGGTGCTAAACCTGTAGACTGTGTTACTTTTCTTATGATTTCAAAATGGAAATACAAAAGTAATGAGAATACAGAAGAAAGTTAAATTAAGAATGGCTTAGGTTTGAGAAAATGATAAGTTGCTTTTCATTTTTTAAAGTCCTTGGTTAAGAATGATGGCATTGTGTCATGAGGTACACAAGATATGAAAATCCCACCCAAATCCTCAAATTGCACTAGGCAGTGGTAGGTTATAGAATATAAAATATGTAGGGTCTGAATACTTTTGAAAAGCAAGGAAAAGTCAACCTATGAACTCCTGCTTTTTTCCTCGACTGTTCTCTTAGAGTTCCCTCTAGTGGTACCATTTGATTACTACAGGATGATTTAAAAAAAAAAAAAGACTTTAGATGACTTCTACTTTAAACAAAGAACAAAAACCCCTACTCTGTGTCCTCATTAAATGGGGGCAGACCCTCCCTCAGCAAAGCATTCTGTGGAAAGAGTTGTGTAGGTGCTGGTCCCTGGCTGTTTGCAACCACTTTTCTGATGCGGTTGACGACACATGACAAACTCAGCTATATGGAAACAGAATCTAGGTTTCTATTTTTCATGCTCCCCAAAGGCATTAAAAAACACACACACATCAAGAAAATCATCCCAAATGTGTTTTTCAAAAATTCACTGTCCATAAATATGATATGTAACAACCAGAAATGATTTGTTTTATTGGATCTGCTTTAAAAAGTTAAGTAATCAATTATTATTCAAGAGCAATGTTCACAACAAAAATCACATTGTTAGCTTGCCAGAGAGGAAAGGATAGGAAAGAAGACCTGTGGGAGAAAAGGCTTGGGTAGCCTGAAGAAAGTGCACATCTTGAGTGCTGATGACACATGAAGATGACTTTCCTTGGCCTACTAACATAAGCCATAGAATCCCACCTATCAGGCAATAATTTGTGTCCGTGCATGTAGAATAAGAAATATTCTAGTTACTAAAGGAAGTGATTACAACTTATTCTATTTAAGACCTTCCATTCAGAAAGATGATGGAAGCCTTTGTGGGATACTGGATCTCAGAGGTGCCAGATGTCTGAGCCTAGCTGGGACTGCTCTGTACCCCATTGTGACGGAGCACTTTTTAGTTACATGAAGACCAACTCTCTGTTCTTTCACAGATGGGAAAAAAGTTGCAGCCTGGCTAAGTCAAGCATCTTTGACAGTTAAGAATGATTTCTTCACTTAGATTTGTCACCATGTAGCTTTGTTTGAAATTGGCCATTTTTTATCTTTTATTGTTGTTCCAACAGTGAAGTTTTATGGCAATAATTATGGGTTACAGCAGTATGTAAAGAAAAATGACATGGAGTGGCCATATTTGCATGTGTCTGTCCCCGGAAGGGTGGACTGTGATTTTATTGGATGTCTGCAGCTATTACCTTGAAGGATAAATTTTCATTTTTCATCTATTCTTCCCCATCTAGATTGTATCAGGATTAACTGTAATTCCAGTAAGTGCCTATTCAAAATTTTTAAAATGTTATTCCTCCATTATAAAATGATGTAAGCTAGTTGAAAAAATGAAGTGTTGTGTAGTGTTTCCAAAAACCCATTAACTCACTCTTGAAGTACTCCAGCTCATCCTATAGGTGTAAAAATTCATTGTGATCTTTCTATAATTGAGCAGTTTCTCATGATCATTCTAAAGTTTCAATGAGAAGGAAATTGACAAGAATTCTGTAAAAGCCAACTACAGAGATGGTACATTCATCCTTTTGTAGACCCCCAGCTAGTGGAAGTAACTACTTCTAGGTGATGTTTGTAGTTTCTTCATGAATGACCAGATACCAGAGTAATCTCAGTCAGGAAACCTACTTCTCATCGTGTACAAAGGAGGACATTGTACTGTATGACCCCTAAGGTACCTTGCAATTATAAAACTATGATTCTGTGAACTTCCTCTTTCCTATTTTTTTACCTTACATTTCTTACTGGAGCTTGAGTCACTTAATTTCCATGGCTTTGTGGTTTCTTTTGTGAATTATCCTAAAAAAATGAACCAGTGACTTAGAAAGAGAGTTGTCTTTCTAAGTATATTATCCATAGGATACAATTTCCTTCAAGTGTTTCCATGACAAAAATTAAATTTACATAATGGATTTTTACACCTTAATCATATAGCTATAAAAGCACCTTTAAATCTGAACATTTATTATGATGATATGCATGCCAATGATTATGTCAGAAAGTAGATGCATGGAAAGAGGCTTACTTAAAATTTGGATTATAGCACATGAAAGGAGTGTGGACTGTGATTTTATTTGGAGTCTGTATCATTTACAGACTGTCTTTAAGCAATATTGCACCATTAAATACTTTTATAGTTTTTTTCTTCAGATTTTGCTGACCACATTATAGACTCAATTGATATTAACATATTTAAAGGGTTATTTTTTGTTTTGTTTTGTTTAAATGATACTGGCAAACTATCCTTTTTTTTTTTAAAATAGTGAACCAAAATATTTTCTTTAACCTTAGTGAATGAATGATGAATGAAAGTCCATGGGTTGAAATATCAAAATCATTGACCTTACATCTATTCATCAATAAATTGAACAGGAATAAAAAGTAGGGTTTATACTAGTTTAAGTAAAAACAAAAAGCAACAAAAGCAAAACTTTGCTAATACAGAAACAAAAGTGATTATTAAAATAACATTAACCATTTGAAATTCCATGATTACTCTTAAAATGGTTTACTTTACACTTTTTAGTACTTTTCTTTAAAAAAAGACCTCTCAAACTTAATAAGCTGACTGAAGCATTAATTAAATTGATAAACTATTTACTGATTTTCACTCATTAAAAATCCCATTAGCAAAATTTCCTCAGTAGTTGGCAAATGTATTTGCCACCACTCTCTACCCCATTTCAAATGGTTTTTAGGCTTAATGTTACAGCCCCAGTTTTGCTCCCAGTACTCCCAATGGCCATGGTAGCTCTCACAAAGCATCTTTCCTCGGTAAATACTTTCCCTCTTCAAATTATGTGGATGTTCTACATTTCTTCAGAATTTGCAGAAAATCCCCTCATGTCAGAAAAATAAATGTTCTTTTCTTCACATTTTAGTTTATTTTAATTTAGAATAAACACATACTAAATCTTAGAATTAATAACTTTGATTTTTAAAATATCTGTCTAATGAAGACTAGAAGCATTGATGAAATTAAGAACACTTAAGTCTATGAATTACATGTTGGGTATATATGAGAAAAAAATATGCTTTTTGATATCCCTATCCCTACAAAAATTATCTATTCTTTTTTTTAATATTCTTTTCCTTATTCAGTTACAAGTGGGAAAAACTTAAATTTCTTTCCTTATTAAACCTACTCCTTTTCTCTGTATTTTCCTGGCATTTCATCTTTACTATTTTTTAATATTTCATCTTTGTCTTTTCTACAAAGTTCATTATACATTCCCTTCAATTTTGAGGGAAACCTGCTATTTTGTAGTTTTTCTCTCTGATCTAAAGAAAAAGTATTTGTCCTGCACCAACCCCTGGAAAAATATAGGCTTGTAGGTATGTATGATTTTCTGAAAGCAGGAAGGCTTATGTACCTTTATTGAATCATAGATTTATGACTGTCTTTTTTCAGAAAAAGAAAGAAAGAAAGAAACATCTCAGCAAAGGTCTTGTGAGGTTAGCTTAACCACAAAACAAAGCAAGAAAAATAATCATAAAGAATCATAAAACAAATTGAGAAAAAAATTAAAACTAATTCCAGATCTAATTCAAAATGAGAATGTGATGTTTAAATGTTTGCTGCCAGTTGGAACTTCTATGATTAAATTTCCTCTTCTCCCTCCATCCATCATTCCTCCAGAAATTTCTCTGCTGCTTCCTCTACAGCTTAACAGTTTTCCTGCTACCCACATTAATAGGAACTAAGAAGTTCCTTCATCAGGAATTTCTTTTTTAAAGCTAAAATTCAAATGTTTCTATTTTCAGAGCTTTATGATAAATTGGGAAAAGTGAGATGATGGGAAAGCAGGAGGAGGCCAGAGGAGTATCTGGGCACACACAAGGGCTTTTTAGAGTGCCAGAGATTTCTACCATCCCTGTATCTGGCACTCAAATGTAATATCCAAAACCTTTAGGAATTGCAAAGAGGAGAGATCCCTTTGTTACTTTCCGTAGGGAAAGAGTAAATTTAAATTTCAAGGTATATTTCTATTTGGCAGGTCCTGAATTGCTGCTATTTATTCTGACTAGAAAATTATAACAGTCAAAAACTTCAGAATGGTATAATGGACTCTGTTGCCCTTCCCACACTGAGTTCACTTTCCTGTGTTGAGAGAAATCTTTAAAATAAAAAAGGCATTTTCTCTGTGAACAGGTGACGTCAGCTTTGATAGTTTAGATGACAAACTGACCATCTTTGCACATATACCCCAGCCAAACAGAGTTATCTTATGTGAATTACATAATTTGTCATTGTTTAACTGTACCTGGCATTTGGAGCTTGCGACCTGCTTAGATGGCTACCCTATTGAATGACTTATCAGTGAGATTATATACCTCATCCTCCCCAACACAATTGTCATGGTGGGTCTGAGAACATGAAATAGATAAAGAAGTTGTTTGCCTGCCAAATCAGAATACCACCTTTCATCTTCATTTTATCAAGTATTCAAAAAGACAATCTTTCTTGATCAAATAATCTCATGGACATTCCTAATATAGCCATGATATTTGAATGAAAATGAGAGAACTTCCTTATTCTGCAAGTTCCTTAAACACATATGGAGCTTTGCATAATCAGGAAGATGAAATTGAATCATTAAAGGATTCATGGAAAAATGCTACCAAACCATGGCAATTTGTAGTAATCATAAGGGGAATCAATATGGGTTAGTAGTGGGGGTGGGGGAAGGAATTAAAGATATTTTATGAGAAACAGTCATTAAAAAGAAAAGGAAGCTGTACATAATAGAGAAGTACAGTTTCATATAGAACCCTTTTCTTTTACTTGATATTTGTTGAGTTCAGAATTTTTTAAACAGGAAAATTATTTTTCTCCTTCAATCAAAAAGAGTGGTATTGTTTTCCGATACTGTAAAATACCAATCAATGATGAATAAATAGTGGGAAAATATGAATTATATATAATTATCCCATGGATTATCTTAGGTAAATGGTGACTGACTTGCTATTTATATAAATTTGTTGTCTTAAAAAAGATTTCAACATCTCCTCTGCAACCTTGTTGCCATGATTAATTTTCTTAGTATTTCTTTCCCTCATAGGTAGTCCAAAGTAAAACAGCCAAAGTGTGCATAAATTACCACAAATTCTGAATTAGTAGTGTTCAAATAGTCTGTCACTGTTATGCTATGAGCCAGAGTTCTCAAGATAGTGTGGTACAGATAAATGTTTCCATAGCTTAATCTCCATAAAACATCTCTCAGAGAATACTCACTACATCATTTATCATTGTTACTTAAAAATGTTTGTTCTAAATTTGGAGGCATCATTATACAATAAAAAGAGTGATAGATCTTGAGTCGAATGACGTGGCTTCAAATTATGGCAGACCCTTAATACCTATGTAACCTTAGAGGTACTCTTTCTACTCTTCATCCCTCATTTTGGTCACCAGTAATATTAGTTTTGAGGTCCCTGCCAGTTCTAAGTGTTTGATCCTAATAGTACCTATAATTACCTTTTCTTCTCCAAAAAACATTTAGTGTTATAATCCCTTGATATTTACCCATCTAGTAGATTTGAATAGCTTAGTCCTATCAAATATAGGTTAAGACCTGTCTATTTTCATATCACATAACCAACTCCTTTAAATATGAAACAGATGCCTAGTCTATTTCAAATTAGTGTTAGGAATACTCACTGACTACCATTAAATTGTTTTTTCTTTGCAAGGCACACAATTCTGCCAAGATCTGATGCACCTTTCCAAACAAAAAAGCCTCAGGCTTAGATTTTAGGTTGTAAATTATCTGATTCTGACCAATGCCCCACAAATGACTTTCTTTTAAGAATGCTTCTTTTTCATTAAGCATCTACCTTCTTTCTACTTCTTCATTCTTTTCCCAATCCCCCTATATCTTCTTTTCTTTCTTTTTCTACCTCACTCCCTTTCTCTTTCTTCATGTTAAGCTATTCTGTCTCTTGTTACCTTTATTTCCTGTATCTGGAGCCTTTTTACTTTTTTTCTAGTTCTCCCTCTCCCCCTTATTTACCCAACCTTATTTGACTTTCATAGATTTTTAAGATATGAATATAAATACATATACACCTACACATACATGAAGGAGTGTGCTGTTTAATATTTAACAACCAGCTCTCAAAAAAAGCATACACAATATATTTAAATTCAATCTGTCTTAGTAATATTTCCTTCATCACTTTTTTAAGTCTAAAGAAATAAATCAAATCCTGATTTAAGAGTTCACGAATTTCTGCGATGTAAATGCTTGCACTGAAATTTTTA